AAACTACATCGCTGTCTTCGGACCTTCAGTCCGGAGGCAGTGATGTAATTTCCGGTGAGTTAAGTAATTTACCGAACAACCAAAAAGATTTTTCCGGGTAATGAGCAGGTGTCACAGAAATTATGATAATAGCTGTAAGCTTAATTCGGGCCGAACCTCGAAATAACGCCCATGATCGTTATTTCGCAGTTTTACGGTACTTGCCTTTTTAATATAGTAAGATTCATACGTAGTAAAAAATTTTTTTTTATTAACGTTTAATATGGTCAATATTACCTTTGACATCTTCCCCAGGAACGCCGACAAAATTTTTATGCTCACGTGATACACGGCAAAGTTCTTTAAGTTCGTTTATGTTAGGGTTAGGTCCATGTTAGGGCTAGGATCAAAAGTTCTAACAGTAATTATTGTTCAAAAAAACTTTTTGTTAATACGCAGAAGGTGATTTCCTATGCAGAATTTGAGTTATCGAAAGTTTGTTTTCTGATTGTGTAACGTTTATAGATGCTGGTGAAACTGGTGAAACTCTTGGTGAATGGTGGTGGAACTGGTGAAATTTAATATAACAGCCAATCAGATTTTAGATAGTCACCAGTTTCACCAACTTTATCTAGTTTCACCAGCATCTATAGTAACGTTACATTAAATCGAGGTTCATTATTGGCTTATTTTCATCGATCATCATGTGAATGTAAAATTACATACGTAGTAATTTTGTTGGGGTAGTTGAGTGTTTAAAATAAAATAACAAATTTAAATTAATGTTCTTAAAAGAGCTTAATTTAAATTTTTAATGGTTTCAAAAAATTTTTAACTATAATGCTTTTAAAGGGTTGTAATAATTCTGATAACTCAAATTAAAAACCAACCCCAAGACTCTATGCCTACTCGAGTAAATTATAATTATTTAACTTTATAAAATAATTTTATAATAGAATTATATAATATAATACAAATTTATAGATATCAAAATACAACCAACTTGGGTTCAGGTCGACCCTAAACTCGAATTGAATAACCCTTTCGGAGCACTAGTTCATTATATTGAATTATATTGAATATTTTTTTTGAGAATATTTTGAAAGATTAAAATGTTCTCAAATAAGAGAACTTCATTTTAAATATAAATGTTAAAAAAAATTGAATGTTCTTTGAGAACCATGAGAACATCGAATTTTAAACACTGCCTATAACCAAAATGTCATACATATGATTATATGACCAAGTTCATATCAAAAAAATATACGTACGTACGTTGTTGATAATTTCTATTTATAACACAAAAAAAATCAATTTATACCTGTTATTCTAAGATGGAAGAAACTCAAAATTTAAATTCTAAAAAAAATATACACACATATTTACATTATGAATAAAAGAGTTGCATATTACTGTTTAATTGTATCTTTAATTTTCTTTATGGTAGGGTTGGCTCTAATTGTTTACTGCATTTCACCTGCCTTCTCATCTACTCTTTCTGAATCGAAAATCACTACTCTTCATTCTACAGTTTCTTCTTTTCAAACACATGAATCTATTGTTACTCTGAAATCAACTAACCTTAACCCAACTCAACAATCACAACAAACCCAAACATCCCAAGAACCACCACCCCAACAAACCGGACAACAACAACTAACCCGACCAACCCAACAATCAACCCGACAACAACCACCCCAACAACCATCCCAACAAACCGGACAAAAACAACCAGCAGCACCTCAACCAGCACCAGATCCCAATCCACCACCAGCAACTGAAGCACCAGCAGCAACAGCACCAGCACCAAAACAAAGCCAACAACAACCCCAACCAACCCCAAAACAAAGCCAACAACAACCACCCCCGCCACAACCAACCCCACAACAAAGCCAAAAACCACCCTTCAAGAAACCCATAACAAGAAACCCAATAACCACCTTCACAACCAACCCAACGACCACCACACCCTCACAACCAACCCAACAATCACTTTCTGAATTGAAAACTTTGATCATCGCTTTATCTGTTTTTACAGGACTTTCTTTTACTTGTTCTGCTATTTGCGCTTTTTTTCTTTGTCGCATTTACATGCTAGATCGAGTAAATACAATAACAATTCGAGAGAACCCAAATGAGGATTAAAAACATGCGAATTAACACAATAACGACAAAGGACAATCTTTACTAATTTTAAAAGTTAAATACTTGCTTACAACTTTTGGCAACTCCAGAAACTTAACATTTACATTATGTGAAAATAGTTACAAATTTGATGATAGATGGTTCAGAATTCAATTCAAGAAGTCGGTTTGATTCGGTTTGAGCTGAGCTTCTTAATGTTCACGAAAACGTAACATTCCTTAACAAATAAAGATCGATTTACCTAACGCTAATGAGTGTGGCTTTCCGATTACATTGTGAAACTTTATGCATTATTGAGTGATTGGACTTTACTTAACTCTGTCTTCCAGGAAGCTACCCCAATAAGATCGACAAATATGCACTAACCGTATAAAATTTTTATTTTAAAGTAATAAAACCTTGTGTTAGGTTATGGTAAAGATTACGATAGAACATTTAATACACCAAAGTTTTGTAAGAGATTTTTTTTTTTTTTTGATTAGAGCGCAGGTGGTTTCGTAGTAAAAATTTCAAAATAAGTGTGATTTTCACATTACACCTGATCTAGCGATCTTGGTTCTACACAAAATCCCGACATCCAAAATCTCGAAACCATAATCCCGACGTGACAATTAATATTTAAAGATTAGTAACTGCATTAACAATCATTGTCAAACTTTAAATTTTTAATTGCCACATCGCGTGATGTTAGTATTATGAACAGCAGTACAAATTTTCCGGAAATGGCCAGCATTATGCAGAATTATGCAGATCACGAAGATCATTTCAACAGCATCAAGGTGCAGTACAAATAGGGTTGAAAATTACATTTTACAATCTTACATTTTCATGTAATTTTGTGTAATTTTGCGAGTTTCAAACCTTTT